ACAGCCATGGCCTGCTGCCCACACCTCGGCCCAGTGTCCCCCGGACTCTGCCAGGGTCAAGACATAAACCTGCCCCCACCAAGTCAGCACCAGCCAGCACAGAACTAGGTAGCCCGCGTGCCTTAACCACAGCCCGGAGCAGGGTGGCCCGCGTGCCTTAACCACGGCCCAGGGACTGCAGCAGCACCAGCAAGCCCCTTTCAATTTGTAGCCCTTTGTGCACAATGGAGCCTGGGGAACAGGGTCAGGTGGCGGCCACTCAGGAGAGGAACAGCTCCACACCGAATCGCTGGCCCTGGGCTTGGCCTGAGCCGGGCAGTGGGGAGGAGCTGCATCCACAGATGACTCCAGGGAGGGCCCCTCCTCTCAGGACATCCTTTTCTTGCTCTAAGCCCTGGGCCCTTCGGGAGAGCGAGAACCATGGCCTGGAGCCCCTCCCCCGCTCGGCCTTGTCCCGCCATGGCACCGGCCTGCCAGACCTTGGGGCTAGATGGGTACTGCTCAAGACTCCTGGTGGGTCAGGGGCTGCCTCTCTTACAGGGAGCGATGTGGGGGACACCCTGGAGTACAACCCCAACCTCCTGGATGACCCGCAGTGGCCCTGCGGCAAGCACAAGCGCGTCCTCATCTTTGCGTCGTACATGGTGAGTGCCCGCTCCTGGGGCCTGGGCGCAGGCCGCTGCACACCTGTCCTCGCTCAGGGCGTGCGGGGCAGGCTGTGGGCAAAGCCGCCCCAGGGGCGTGACGTGCCCCCATCCCAGATTGCAGCACCACACACAGTGGTGGTGTGCAGGGCAGGCCAGGGAGCAGTGCTGGCCACTCCAGCTGGGGTCGACCTTTGCCCTTCAGCCCTCAGCACCTGGCAGCCTGGCTCTCCCCATACCAAGCATGCATGGGCTCTGGGGTTCTCTCTTGAGCCATTTTGTTCGCTGAGATTCGGGGCCTCTCAAGCCACACCTTATGCATGTTTGCAAACTCAGGATGGTGAGAAATCCATCGTGGTACCGGGCAGGTGGGACCCATGGACTGTGGAAGGGGCCAGCCCAACCCTGTCCACTGTCTGTTGCAGACCACAGTGATAGAATACGTGAAGCCCTCAGACCTCAAAAAGGACATGAACGAGACCTTCAGGGAGAAGTTCCCACATGTCAAACTGACACTGAGCAAAATCAGGAGGTGAGGACACCCTCTCAGACCATCTCATCGTCCTGGGAGGCCCTGCCAGCCTCTCCAGTTTCTGGTAGATTCTCTCTCCAGCTTGACAAGTCTAGCCGCTGCCCATCCTCAACTCCCTCCCACCTCTGACCAGGCCCCCAGCAGCAGCTCCCCCACCTCCACTGCCCGCCAAGCCAGGCCCCCCGCGGCCCCATCACACTTCATCCCCCCACACACCACCGGGCCTCTCAGCCAAACGCTCGCAGCAGCCCAGGATCTTTGTAAAACTCGAGCAGGACGAGGCCTCTCTTGTGCCCAGCCGCTCCCCGCGTGTGCTATTTTACTGAGCAGGTTCCGTGGCCCTTCCCCTGGCCCACAAAGCACCCTGTCCAGGCATGCTGGGTGCTCACCAAGACCATCCACGTGCCTCTGCTCTCACATCTTGCCACACTGAGAACTCCTGTGACCAGAGGAAAGTGAGCCGAAGGCAGCGAAACTGCTGGGCTCACTTTGGACTCCTGGCCACGGCCCTGTACTGGGGGCCTGCCTTGCCTGGCCTCTGCCCCAGTGTTCCAGAGGGTGGCTCACCCCACACCCCGGCACCTCCCTTCAAGGCTCTTCCTAAAACTGTCCCTCATCAGAGGCCACTGCCCCCCACCAAGAGCAGGGCCTGTCCTCTGTGGCTCCACCCACCAGGCACAGGTGGGACCTGCTGTGGGCACCCACCCAAGGGAGGGGGGAAGCCGAGACCCAGCCTGCCTGTCGCTGCCCTTGCACCCTGCCCTGGGCATTGTACATGGTACAGTGGAGGTTACTGCCCTGAAGGATACAGTGGTGTTTCTTGCAGCCCAAAGCCACATTGCTCGAGCCTCCTTGGTGGTGGCAGGGGGCTGACACCTCAGCCCCAGCCAGAGCCCCAGGGACATGGCTTCTGTCTTAACCCACAGCTTAAAGCGGGAGATGCGGAGCCTGTCGGAGGAGTGCAGCCTGGAGCCCGTGACGGTGGCCATGGCCTACGTGTACTTTGAGAAGCTGGTCCTACAGGGCAAGCTCAGCAAACAGAACCGCAAGCTGTGCGCCGGTGCCTGCGTGCTGCTGGCCGCCAAGATCAGCAGTGACCTGCGCAAAAGCGGCGTGAAGCAGCTCATCGATGTGAGTGCTGGGTTCGGCAGGCGCTGCAGGCAGGGTCATGACATCCAGCCAGGGCCACTGCTGAGATGGGGCTGGCTGGGCAGGAAACGTGGAAGAGGGAAGGCTCCCGTGTAACCCTTCTCTCTCCCCTGCAGAAGTTAGAAGAAAGGTTTCGATTCAACAGGCGTGACCTGATCGGGTTTGAGTTCACAGTGCTCGTGGCCTTGGAGCTGGCCCTGTATCTTCCCGAGAACCAAGTGTTACCTCATTACAGGCGCCTCACCCAGCAGTTCTAGCAGAGGCTCCACAGAAGGCTCAGGGCACCGAGGTGCACTTGCCGGCCAGGGAAGTGTCTCACTGAAGCCCCGCGCTGCCTCCTGCCAGTGCCCCCAGCACCCGCCAGAGGAGGCACCTGGCCTCCGCTGGTACGGCTCTCCTTTTTGCCTCTGCTGTTTCCTTGGAAAGTGACGTCGCTTTCATCCCCAAATGCACTGTCCCTCCAAGGGGATTTCTGAGAATTCGCCTGGATTTTTACATAACTAAATGTGGGGTTTTGTTATTGGTATTTTTTTCATGTGCCTCAGACCAGCCTGGCACCAGGATCTTTGGTTCACAGCGTGTAGCAGTGAGCCGGCTGCAGTCTGTCTCCCCACGCCTCGCCTTCTGTAAACCACCGCAGCCACCACAGCGTTGGGGTGGAGATCTGGGTTTCTAGACCTCACTGAACACACTGAAATGGCTGAGTTTAACTTATTTAGGCATTCATCTTGGAGATTTGGTTTTTCGGGTGTGGATTCCTCAGCAGCATCTCCCAACATCGACTGTGCCGCTGGCTCCCTGCCACCCAAAGCCGAGTTCCTCCAGAGCTTTCTCCGCCCACCTCACTGCATCCTAAATGGAGCTTTTGGTGTCCAGTTAAACTAGCAGGAGCAGTCTCCTGATTTATTTTGATCTCATTCTTGGACTCTTGGACCTCTGTTCTTCAAACATCGTGTCACTGTGAAATCCTGACGCCCTTGTGTCCTACAGACCGACTGGGTCAACAGACAGCTGCCCATACCATGCCATGCTCTACCCTACCCTCTGCCTCTCACCAGGAGACACTCTGGGCCTCCAGGACAATCGCTGCTTGCCAGCTCTTATTTTTCTAAGCAATATTGTGATGGAGAAAAATAACATATTTATTGGGATTTGTTTTTTTGGGTCTTTTTTTAAGGGAACAAAAAATGGTTAAATGAGGTCTGCTAAAGTTGACCTGAAAACACACTTGACCCTCAGGCAGGAGGGCACTGACCACACCCCACACAACCTCAAAGGGTCAGTGCATCAGTCTTTTTCTTCTGAGGCAGGAAACAGGTGCTGTCTTAGCCACCTCGGCCAGGGCAGCCCACCATGCTAAAAGGACTCCAAGTGGTGGTCAATGTCCCTTCTGTGCAGGGCCCCATCTCTAGCTTTTCCACATCTGTCTGAAGTTCTTGCAACGAATTTTACATGGTCCAGCAATCCAGCTAGCTGCCTCATCAAAACACTGAATAACCAAGGACTGCTGAGTTTTTCTTCACGGGTCAGCTGGTCTCAAAACTGGCCGCTGCCTCAGCCACCAAGCTTTTTCCTACCACTACTTTCAACCTCCCTGGCCCTGGAGAGACTCTGGGATGGCTTTGCCTCTAGCCCATTACAACACATTCTATGCTATTTGTGCAGACTGGTGCTTCTGCAGAAAGGGGATGCCAATTCTGGTGATCACACAACTCCACCAGCAACTCCACCTGACCCCAGCAGTGGTGCAGGATAGCTGCTAGCACCCACCTGGCCCTCCTTTTCCACAGCCACTCACTGGGGTTGAGACCCAGAGATGGCTGGTGTGTAGGAGAGACTGCAGGATGAGGACAAACCAAAGCCTTTGCCCTTATTTACTGTGGAGCATCCCCTTCCATCGAGCAGCCCTCAGGCCAAGGATGACCCCTGGAACCCAACGTGCACCCAGAGGGGACTCGACTTCCAAGCTGCTCCCCCATGCTGGGTCCCAGGCAGCTTTCCTCTGAAAAGCAACCTCTCCTGCCACCCAGATCCCATCTCAAGAGCTCGCCCATGTTATGAGCATGTAAGGGACTGAATTCCTAGTAACTGTTCCAGTTTACAACCTGCCCTCCAGGGACACCCGTCTTCATGGTTTTTTCTACACATGAAAGCAAGAAATGGCTGATAAGCACAGTAATTTAAATTTGTGTACTTATGTAGTGAAAGTTATCAACCAAACCGGTCTATGTGAAGTGTGAAGCCTTCCCTTCAGTATGTCCATTGTCATGATGCCAAGAGCTGCCACTGTGTGGTATTCGAGGATTATTGCAACAAAGCCAGTAGTTAAACCAAACTACACTCTCAGCGTGTCATCCCCTAGAACACACCCAGGTGTCGGGAGCTGAGGTGTTCAGCTGGGCTGTGACTCCACAAAACCAGGCCTGGTGTTGCTTCCACGTCGGTAGCAGTTGTGGATGTCAATGTGCATAAGCGAGTCTCTGACCTCAGAACGTTTGAGTCATTTTATCTTAAGATGTTTCTAAATGGATAATGTATCCTTTAAACCTCGGTTTTGCAATACGTTTCACAGCTTGTCTCCTTCCAACTAACTGGGTACCGTACCCCACCCTTGTCACCCATTGACAGCGAAACCTCAACCCTGGGCCTACAGACACAGAACGAACCTGCACAGGTAGGTTTTCACTATTTATTTATGACAAATATTCCACTTCCATGATTCTCTCCAGTCAAAAGTTCCTAGAACCAGGGGAAAAGGACAACGTTAGGACCACGCCTCTCTCTGGAGCAGCCCTAGTCCACTCACTCTGCCCAAATGTGAGCCCCCCAACCTTACTTTGAGACGATGCCGTCGGCCTTGGCCAATCGGAGAATGGAATCATCTGACTCACCCTTAAGAAAAAAAAAAACACACTAAGAATATTTCCACTCCGGCTGCTTGAGATGGCAGGTCAGCTGCGCCACCAGCCCATGTGTCTCCCCCGCTGAGCGAATGGAAACAGGCGCAGAAGGGGAGCCACCTCTCCCGAGGGGCAGCCTCCGGCCTGACTATGGCGTGAGATGGGGGGGACCTCCTAGTGGGAGGCAGGGTCTGCTGCCTGAGTGTTTTCTCAGAGCACCCCTCTTCCACCCCCAAGAAGCAGCAGCCAGCCCAGTCCAGCTGGCTCAAACTACTCTGCCAGCAAATCTACTCAGGCACCATCACACACTCAAATGCGCAGGGTAAAGCAGGGTAACGTCCACGATGTCCCGAAGTGATGAGCAAAGCCCAGGGAACACTCACCATCCTACGAATGGCCCCGCAGATAGCATAAGTTTTAAACTGGCCATTAAACCTGCCTGTGACCTTGTCAACCTAGAAAGAGAAGAAGGGTCAGAAACCACTCCCCCAAGTTTGGGAAACACCAATCCTCAAAGCCAGCCTCTGCCTTACGTTCACCCTAGGGGCTCCTCCACGATGGGACAGGCCTGCCTTTCCCGGCACATACATCCCAACCTTCCCGCCTCCCGGGCTCCCAGCTCACCTCGGCCACGTTCATCTGGATGGATGCGTGGTCCTTGGCACCGATGATGCGGTTGCTGGCGGAGCTGTGGAGAAAGGCAGCAGTGAGCAGAAGGGACAGGGGTAAAAATGAAAGGGGGGACGTGGAGGGTTGGGAGGGTCCTGCATGGAAAAGAGGAACGTCCGGGGAAGGATCCGGGAGGGACGTGGCGGGGTAAGGACAGGAGGGGTGTGGGGGGACAAGGGCAGGCGACGGGACGCGGTGGTTGGGTAAAAACGGAAGAGGGGCATGTGGGGGGCTCAGTGAGCCGGGCGTGGGGAGGGCGCTCACCATTTCCGCGGCACGTACAGGTCCACGAACTCGCCGGCGTCGTTCTGCATCTCGAGGCTGAGCCTGCGGAGTCACCGCGCGGCGCCGTGAG